AAGACATACTACTCGTATATGTGACAGATTTTACCCGCAGGTATCCACGGGTACAAATTTTTTTGTCATCCTTAGATTGAACAATTATCTCTATGTACTAAAATAATATGGGCACAAGTGATATAATTGTCTCAATGAATATTTGTTAAGAGAGACATATACAAATAAGCTCATAAGTCTTTGTATTCTTACGATAAGTTCGGGAAAATAATTGTCTATAATATTTATTTATGTAGATGACATAAATATTATTGGAACTCCCGGAGAGTTTTCAAAAACTACAAATTATTTAAGGAAATTATTTGATATGAAGGACTAAAGAAAAAGTTCTTACTTAATGAACATTTAGACAATGAAACTTTCGTACACTAAAAAATAAGAGTGTGCATGATTGGTTATTTTTAGAAACCAAACCATAACCATTTTCAAATCATTTAAATGGTTTGAATTTATAACCATAATCACACTTTAATCAAAATTGGTTATGATTATATAATAAGTTTCTTTAAAAAAATCAAGTTTTAAAAAAATTATTTTATAAATATTTTAAATTTAGAATAAAATAATTTTTTCAATATTATAAAAAGTTCGAAATTAAAAAAAAAAAATTCTAGAATATAAATTTTCTGAAAAAAAATATTTTTTCATACTTAAATATAAATTCAATTAGGTAATAGAAAAGCTTGAACGTAGTATGCACTTATATATTGTAATGCTAACATTAGAATTTAATATGCATTCGTTGCAATTTCGCCCTTGCTGCTATTCATATCATTTTTTACACGGTACGTACTTCCTATAGAGTATCTTTTCTCAATTAAAACAAATTAAAAAATTTCTGGAAACAAAATATATATTTTTTCAAAATTACAAAAAAAAATTAAGAAAATTTCGAAATTTTTTCTGCCGGAAACGTTTTTTTCCGAAAATTTATAAAAAAAAAAATTCTGAAAAAATTTTCTCCCGAAATTTAAAAAAAAAACAATTCAGAAAATAAATAATTTTTTAAAATTTTGAAAATTAAAAAATTCATAATTGACTTGAAACATTTGGATTTAGGATAATAAATAGATTTTAACCGAATCCAAAAATAACTTAACCGGTTAATAATCATTTGATTATATCCGGATTTCATGGAAGGATAACCAAACCATTAAAATAATTAAATTGATTAATAATCATTCAATTATATCCAGATATTTAAAAGATATTTGAATTTGGTTATGGATTTGGACGTCACAACCGGATATTTTGCACACCCCTGTCAAGATGGTTATATAGAAAAGTATTAAAATCTTTTTATATGGACAAATATCATATGTTATTTAGCATAAGTGCTAAAACATTTGTATATAGACAAATCTCTTATGTCGTGTACCCGATGATGTTTGCTCGTTGGATGTGTAGAAGATTCTTATAGACCTCGAGAAAAGGATGAAAACTAATTGGTCATTAAGTACCATATCTCAGTGTAATTCAAGCACCGATCTATCTTCCTAATTATATAGATCTCGTTATATAATACTCACTACAAGAAAAATATGATTTAGCTTGGGGCAAATGACTAGGGGTTAAGCCCCTAGCTAAATTTACCATTAGCTTGGGGTAATCACTTGTCTAAATAACATAAATTAAAAAAAAAATTAAAAATTTGGTGTGGCTAGGAGCTCCTCCCATAGCTAAGTTTTAGGAGGGAAATTGAAAATAAATCTTTTGGATGCTTGCGAGGGGGTGGCACATGGGAAAAAGGAAAAATATTTAGCGAGGGGGCATCACCTCGCCATAAATAATAGTCGTTGGCCATTTGCGAGGGGTCATCACCTCACTAGAAAAATAATACTTTTGCGAGGGGCTAACTCCAAGCCCATTTTCACATCACATTCTGCCCTGCTGCATCTCTAAACCGGCTTGCGTGTTGCAGTGGGACAACAGTTGTTGGCAGGTAGCGAGGAGTTAGCCTCAAACTAATTATGGTACCGTTTGGCAGCTAGCGAGGAGCTAACCCCAAGCCAAGTTTGGTACCGTTTACCACTTATACATTATATCTTCTTCTTTCTCTTTCATTTAAGTAGTTTTCTTCCGGCTTCTCTCTCTCAATTTCTTCTTCTTCTGCAACTCCCTCAACTTCCTCTTTTCCTTTATTTTTTCTCTCCATTAATCCTACATTTTACTCTATTGGAAGCTTTAACTTTTTATTTCAAAAGTAATAAAATTATTTCTATATGTTATTTAAGATATATATTATTATATTAATTTATAAATTCTAATTTTTGTTGGATTAAATTCGTAGGTATTTATTATATTTTTCTCCATGAACACTAACTTTGTTTAATAAAGCTTCTTTATACGGTATGTAATTTATTTTATTTTTTTTATTGAAATTTTTTCTGAATTATATGTTACATTTAGGTAAATTAAATTGGTTTAGGTATGTATTAGATTTAGTTGATATAATTATGTACGTTAGATTTAGTTTATATATATTATATATTAAGTTAAATGTTATTCTAAAAACATATTATTATTTTTTTATTCTGAAAATATATTATATATTATATATTTTATTATATTAAATAGTATATTAAAACAGTTTATATATTATATATTTTTTATTCTAAAAATATATTATATATTATATATTTCATTATATTAAATAGATTATTAAAATAAATTATATATATTAAAAAATTTATTCTGAAATATATTATATATTATATATTTTATTATATTAAAATAGTTTATATATTTAATTATATTAAATAGTTTATATATTATATATCATAAAAACAGTTTATATAAAAACGTATATTTAATTTATAACAAATATGCCAAAATTTATATAAAAAGTACTAAATATTTAGTTAATCTAAATAATAATATATTTAGTTTATAGGAAAAAAAACAGTATATTTAGTTTATATCTAATTTAAATATTTAGTATATTTAATAAATATTTAGTTTAAATAAAACATAATATATTTAATTTATATAAAAAAATAGTTTATTTAGATTATAAATGGTATACTTAGTTATTTTAGAAAACATTATATTGAGTTTATATAAAAAATATATATTTAGTTTATATAAAATATAATAAATATTTAAGTAATCTAAATAATAATATATTTAGTTTATAGAAAAAATAGTATATTTAATTTATATCTAATTTAAATATTTAGTATATTTAGTAAATATTTAGTTTAAATAAAATAAAATATATTTAATTTATATAAAAAACAGTTTATTTAGATTATAAATATACTTAATTATTTTGAAAAATATTATATATTTAGTTTATATTAAAAAAAGTATATTTAGTTTATATAAAATATAATAAATATTTAATTAATCTAAATAATAGTATATTTAGTTTATAGAAAAAACAGTATATTTAATTTATATCTAATTTAAATATTCAGTATATTTAGTAAATATTTAGTTTAAATAAAACATAATATATTTAATTTATATAAAAAAATAGCATATTTAGTTTATAAATAGTTTACTTAGTTATTTTGAAAAACAATATATATCTAGTTTATATAAAAAAGGTATATTTAGTTTATATAAAATATACCAAATATATGAGTTGGTATATAATTATATGGACTCGAAAAATAGAGTTGTCTTGTTTTATTTTGACTGGTATGATCCATCTTCTAGAGGAACAAAAATAAACAAAAAATACAACATTGTTGAAGTTCGAATGGACAGGAAGTACAAAGAGTATGACCCTTTCATAATGGCACATAATGATACACAAGTTTATTACTTACCTTATCCTTTCATTCAACCACGAAAACAAGAATGGTGTGTTGCAATCAAGTCTAACCCAATAGGTCATATTGAAACTGGAGATGTAATAGAGGATGTTGCATTCCAAGATGATGATATTTCACCTGTTAATGAGGATATTGAAATTGAGGAGATTGCAACCTTGTGTGATACTACAGTTGAGGGTCAACAAGTTGACACTACTATTTTATTGACACCTGTGGAAGAGGAGCATGAAGAGTCAGGAGAGTCTGAAGACTATAATAACATATCTGATGAAGATAGTGAAGATGAGCATGAATGATGATTAATTTGTGTAATATTAATTTGTTTAATATAATTTGTGTAATATTATTTTACTCATGCCTAAAAACTCTTGGGTAATATTATTATTCTTGCCTGAATTATTATATATTATTCTTGTAAGTTTTATGTATCAATTATTTTATGTTCGTCTTTCAAAACAGGAAAAAAAAATGCCACTCCGACGTGAAGATAAGGGTAAGACTCAAGTAGATAAGCCTCGCCGCAATCGATCGAGGTATATTATCACTACGCCAAATAAGCTATTTAATAGCGCTTTTTTGTTTGTTTTTGATAGCGCTTAAAAGTGCTATTAACCGCGCCACTATTGTAAATATTTCTTATTTAATAGCACTTTAAAAGCGCTATTAAAGTACCAATTTATAATAGCGTTTTAATTAAAGTGCTATCAAAGTCAGTATTTTGCATGTTTTTTGTTTGTTTTTTTATAGCACTCTAAACAAAAAGCGCTAATATATAACATATGTTTGATAGCGCTTTCAAATAAAGTGCTAATAAATGGTACATATTTGGTACAATATTTTTAATAAGTACAGTACAATATTTTTTCTTACACAATCATTTTTTTTGGTGTAAATATAAAATAACTATATTCAATTCAACACAAATAACGCTTTAAGTTACTCATTGCATATATATTATGATCCATCAAATACCAAATAACATTTTAAATTACCAAATCCTATTGTTTCCAAATATCATAACATATAGAATATTAAGAGGGCGTTTGCATAGCCAAATTTGTAGATGCTCATCTATGAGTACTTCAATCCAAATCCAAAAACATACAATCAAATTCTCTAAACAAAACACCAAAAAAATAAGAAAGGATAACAAAACAATCCTATGTAGTAACCACCTTCATGATCCAAAAGCGTTGAACTCATAGATACAATCACTAATTAGGCAAAATAATTGCTTCTTGTTTTCCTGTATCATAGAAGGAATATTGATTATGTATTGTACAATAAAAACTAATTCAACATATAAAGAATAATCAAACATTTAATATGGGTCTAACAAGAAGCGCATAAAATAAGGAATGATTATTATAAACTAATAACAATAAATCGATATAACTAATGCAATAATTGAACTAATTAAGTCTAACAAGAACATGACTTGTAAATATATAGACCACAATTTCCATTATTAGATGCATATAAACACTAAACAGAATATAATTCAAATTCTCAAAATATACATAAACACTTAATTGTGTGTAACTTTCTTTAGATGTAAGGCACTTAACATATAGGTTACACTCATAAAACAATAAGAAAAGTATCAATGTTATGTAACAAACGAACTATGTTTAAAACAATAGCTTATGGTTCTGCACAACGTATAACCCAAAGCTTAAAAACAAGTAATTGAGAAACGCATAATGAAAAAAGAGAAACATATAATATAAACTAGAAATTGTTAAACTTGGGATTATCAATAAAAGATGAGAGAAAAGTAGTATTGATAAATCCTAACCTACCTTGTAACAAACACAGAAATTCAAAAACAAATGAATTATGAATCAATTTTAAAAGAAAATGAATCAATTTTCACTCTTTTCTCTTATCTTACACTTCTTAAGTGTGCTTTGAGATTATCCAGTTCCAAAAATAAATTCAAGTATGAAAATATAGAGACACAAGAAAAATAACACTCCCCAAAACATGGCAAAAATACACAATCCCTAAGAATAATATTGAAAAAGAAAATTAATGCAACTTATCCAAAAAGTATATTACAAACCTTCTACTTTGTCGGTGAACCATCCAGAAAGATGAGACATGATTTGATAAAGCAGGATCCAGCACAAGAATTGGCTCCTGAACCAAGGAGTAAAAGCAAGATGATGAAGAAGAATCAACAAAATTGCAAAACACTAGCAGTTTCAAATATAAATATCATAATCGAACTATAGTAATACATGCTGAGCTAGATTAGTTATCACCTTTTCCATAACCCAACCATTCTGCACAGACAAAGTAAGGTACAAAGGTTTCTGAATATCAACTGAATATATATGTACACTCTGACGAGAAGAAACGATACCACGATGTCGCTCGACACCGTTTCCTTCCTTTGTTTTCTCTAAGATTGAAAATTCAGCAGGACAAGGAAGCCGATTCTCCAATTTCATAGGAGAGTTAATAGATATTCTCCAATCATATACAGGGGTATTTAGTTCAGTATTAAGGACTGAGGCATCTGTACCCACACTAAACCATATCTGTTTACTTCCACTGCTAGGATTACAGCACAGAAGTATATCCTTTTTCTCAATCTCATTTAGCTTTAAAGAACAATTTGATGTCACAGAATTTGGTCTACAACCTGGATCTAATTGTTGATCTTTGCTAAATATATAGGTTGAACCAACAGCTACAACATGACTCCATGAATATGAGGGCTGAGAATTATCAAAGCTAGGTCGAATTTGCAAATGTTGTTCAGAATCCTTTGACGTACTTCTCCATGATAAAACAGTAGATGCTCCAGGGTGCACAGTACTTACTCCACTTTGCAAGGATTCTACACCTTGTTCAGAAGTGGGTTGTCTAGTACGAATCCAACGCCTTCGACGGACAACATCAGAGGCCGATTTTGTTGAAGATTTTGATGAAGTAGGAGGCCATCTTAAATTTTTAATGTCCGATTCATATGCCCAGCCTTCCTTGTCAACATGCTGAAACTTTTCTATGGACCAACCTGAAGCCCATTTCCACCCAGGAGGAAGTGGAGGTTCGAAGAAGTCCTGCAAAAATGATACAGGTGAATGAGGATCTTAATAAGTGCAATAGGTACGGAAGTTAACAGTTGATAACAGAAAACCTATAAGTATACCAACCTTTGATGAGGACGAGAAGTCCCTTGTGCTCCAGTGTCTAGGATTATCAGGGTGTACATCTGGCCAACTGTTACCCCAACCTGATGATGGCTGATAATACTGATTTTGAAAGACTTCTTCTACCACTGTATTTGAAGAGCTTGTTCCAAGTGAGGGCTCATGACCACTAGAAGCATGACACGTTGAAATATTCAATATAACATCAGAATCATTCACTACTCCGACAAGACCCCTAAAAATTACATGTTTCTTCCCATTTTTCATCACAACTTCCATACCGATATATTCCTTCTTTAAGAATTTTGGACCAACTGTAAGTGGAAGTAATGATCGGACACTCTCCCACTCACCCCCTGGGTCAAGACCCACCCAAAATAAACAAAGCCTCGCTGAAAAGACATCCAATTCCAAACTATATGTGATGTTTTACTAAATAAGGCCATTCAAGAAATACCTTTCCCAGCTTTTGCAGTAAGATTGGTAACCTCTATTTCCAACTTAGCAGGGGCCTGTAGCATTTTATCAATGTGACATTAAATGCAGCAAACTTCTACGGATGTAAAAAGTTTCAAATTGAAGAATGTAGAACGTGTTGATATATAAGTTGGGGAAATTGCAGATCATGCAAAAAAACCAAAGAAAAATTAAATTTCAATGGAGCTCGTATTACATTTCAAAGATTAAATAGGTCCAAATTATGCTATTAAATAAACACACAGCAAGAAAAAATAAATAAAAAAGGAGAAACCATAAGTTGAATGTAAAATAAAAATAGCATGAATGAGCTTTCTTTAGCCTATGCAAAAATGTCACTATGCCAGACCATGACATTCATATTTTGAGAGCACAGTTTAGTTTCTGCATAATGTCATTCTAAAAGTTATTTCAGTCAATGAGCATTATAGGAACAAAATAGAAGAAAAACATAAACCTAATCAACTAATGACGCCCATCACACATAACCAATCAATTACCTTTCGGGGAACTTCAAATATAAAAAGTTCATTCCACTTTACATTGCCTTCATCCTGATTATTAATTCTTGATATTATAGGCTTGACACACTTTGTTCTTGCACTCTGAGGAAAAAGCCTTTGCTGCTCGGATGCCTGACTGTCAACAACAAGACGTAAGGCACAGAAGAAGTTATGGCTGTTACCATCATCAATTATAGATAAACCCTGCAAAATTATAAATGAATTGATTTCAATGTTATGGGTAGGAAGGAAAAGCAGGAATCCAATTAGAATTCTATATAACCATTTGCATCATGACCTTTGCTTCCAGTATCTGTACAGCGACATAGTAACGTGCTTCTCTGGATTCATCTGCAACATTTAACCTATTTGAAAATCGTGGAGGAGGAATCCACACAGAAACACAGTCTCCGTGATGTAGCATGTCAACTGTATCTACATCATGCTCAACTTTTTTGACAAAGATGTCACACCCAAGTTTATTTTCTACTATCACAGTCTGCAAGTCATCCTCATCTAGAGCAGAAAAAGTTGTACTTTCTCCTTTGTGTTGACCACCAGCCTCATGCAAACCAAACAGTTAGCAAGACTTTTAAGAGTCACACGTCCGTTAATATATGATTTGATCATGTGTTTATAAGTGGGATCAATCATCACCCAATAAACTGGTTTTGTAGGAATGAGTTAGTTCAACCACATGTCTAAACAAAACTATTTACCATATACATAGCTAGGGAGTAGGACTTGTGTGAGATAAGTGGTTAATTAAGTTGTTTATGCAAACACATCCTTAGTTGTTTTTATATTCTAAACAAGCAATCTTTCACTTCCACCCTCACAAAATCCAAGTAAACGAACTAAGTTCTTATGATGAGTGAGACCAATGACATTCAGTTCATTCCTGAATTCTCTATGAGCTTGATCCAACAAAAAATTGTTCAACTTTTTCACAGCCACACGAGTTTCGAAACATGTGTTGTTGTTGACGACTCCTTTATAAACTATACCAAAAGCTCCCCTTCCTAGCTCTTTGTCAAATCCATTAGTAGCTTCTTCAAGCTCTTCGTAAGTGAAGCAACGCAAATTGGTTTCAACACTAGTTTCACTTCTGCTAACTCTTCTAAGCTTCTTCTTGTACTGAATAATCATGGAGGTGCTGAAACATATTGCTACAAGCAATACAGCATTGAGAATAGCAGAGCTACCAAAAAGCACAGAAACAACCAAAACCAACGTTTCCCTATTATTATTCTTGTTCGCAATGATTGGAAATGGAGGAAAATCAAAGGACTGGAGGGAGGTATTATCTTTTCTCACTTTCAAGAAAGCCTTAGCACCATTAAGTGTTGGATCAACTTTCCCATTTGAGAGTGGTAACTTCTTCATCCAACAACTATCACCTAACCTGAAAATAGCCACAGAACACATGCAATCTCCCATACAAGCTTCTTTACACAGTTCTTCAGTAAAAGGCCTTTGAAGCACAAAATCTGAGAAAGGCCAATCAGTGTTAATCAAAACCTCAAAGTCATAGAGATCCTTTCTTTTACTCAGTTCATCTTCTTCACATCCTTGTATAAAATCTGGCTTGCAGCTACCATATGGATCATCAGGATTAACTAGAGAGTAACTTTTTGGACACTGACACGTTGGTCTCTTATCCTGTCCCAAAGTGCAGAAGTTATTGTATCCACAAACACCACTACCAGAACTGACAGTATAAAGACATATATTATCAGGTTTGGACCATACTGTGGTCCAACCTTCACTCTTTGTTGAACTCTTTGGGTGCTTGTAAGCAAATTATCATAATACTATTCCCTAAAAGAAATAAGCAATTTGAAAGGGAAACTATTAGAGGAGAATGAATAGTGTTATTGATGATTCCTCTTTCTCTAAGGTTGATAGAAAACCATGGTCAGAACATTTATCAAACACTTTGCGGGCAAACCAGAAGAGATACTGAGATTGATACAAGTGGGGCAAAGCTATAGAGAAGAGAAAAGAACGGAGAACGGTGGTGGATGACTTACCGGGAGTGACACGGATTGAGAGCGGCGGAGATCGGAAAGCTCAGAGACGATTGACAAGGAGGTGTCTCCAGTCTTGTTGTTTGGACGTGCAACTGTCAAAATCACCCATAAAGTTTTCTTAAATAGCACCAACACCCAATTTTCTGAAAATGTGTTTTTTTTTTATCAATTAATTAATCCATTCATTATTATATATAACATAGCGCTTTTTAATAAATGCTATTATATAGGTAGTCAAATAATAGCGTTTTATACAAAATGCTATCTTAAAGAAGTTTAATAATAGCGTTCTGGTACAAAGTGCTATCAAAATTACATAGTCTGTATTATATAATAGCGCCCGATTAAAAAGTGCTATTATAAATGTGTTTTTTCCATTTTAATAGCATTTTTTTTAAAAGTGCTATTAAATTAGGTGATACAAAAAATCATTTTTGGCGTAGTGTATAGAAGAGGTTCATGACACGGCTAACCTTATTTCTATGCCACAATCGAGTCAACAGCCACATCATCCTCTTATGAATGCCACTTCACCATTAATGCATCATACTCTACCACATATGCATCTCACTCCACCATCTATGCGTTCCACTCCACCATCGATGCATCCTACTCTACCACATATCCATCCCACTCCACCATCTATGCGTCTCACTCCACCACCTATGCATCCTTCTCCTTCTACATTCACAAACCTACTATTCACACCTTATTCTACATTTCCTGACATTTCCCCGCGAGCTTTTCTTAGTCCTCTTGGACATATATCTTATATGCCCCAGGTTGGACCTAGCACCTCCATACCTACTATAGATCCAGCATTTATGCAGTATAGGGATCCAGGTGGTGGATCTAGCACGTCACATTCATCACCCATGCATTCTATGCATGAGGAGCAGGGTGATGATGATGACCATGCAAAGCAGGTTGTTCAGGACGAGGCTGACCATGAGCATAGGAATGCACACATTTTGAGAAACATGCCACAAGTGATTAGGAAGAGGAATGTACGATTTGTCATTCAGCCAGAGGGATCATCGTAAGTGTTTATGTTTAAATTATAAATTTTAGTTGTTCGTTTATAATTAATACTAACTCATATTTTGGTTGCTTAGATTTTACCCATCACATCAGGCAGCAACTTGCATCACTGAGATCATTAAAGAAAAGTATAAGAAATTTTGGCCTACGTATGGTGTAGTTGATGGTGATGAGAGGGAGGCTTGGTTTAGGTTATTTCAGGTATAATCAAATTTGTTTAACATTTTTTATCTTTTTTACCTTTATTAAAGTAATTCACTCAATCACGATTATAACTTTATTTCATATTTTTTGAAGGAGAAATGTTGTTGGGACCCTAGAGATGATATCCAAATAAGAGATAATTTTAACATTAAATGTGCTCAACGGTTTTCTGACACGATGAGGCGTGTTAGAATTACTTGGGAAAATAAACGCTTGCGTCTCTATTGGATAAGTCCAGATGTATTTGAGCAGCTTATTGCCCATTGGAATTCTGATTCCTTTAAGAGTACATCTGAAAAGGCCAAGAAAAATAGAGCCTCTAAAGTTGGCGGCTGCAACTACGCCTATGGTAGTATTAGTATTGCTGATGTTGCACGGAGAATGATAAATTTAATTATTTTGTAATTAACTCAACAGTTTTAGATTATGTTATAACTATTTTTTATGTCATCTACTTAGCGTGATAAGTTGGGCAGAACTCTATTTCTTAATGAGCTCCATAAGGAGATTCATTTTAAGAAAAATGGGGAGTTTGTTGATGAGCGCTCAAGAAAAACTCAAGTAAGTTTTCCTTAAACTTAGTCATTTTACTTATTTCTTTTGTGTCTAGCATAATTTAAATTTCAATAACACCTACTCTTTTTAATAGGAGGAGTATAAAAAACAGCTTTCCCTAAGATTATCACAGCATCCTGAATATACACCACCTCCGTCGGGATTTCCCCCTGATCCTAGTCTGAGTTTTCAGACTTGGTATGATGTATCTCGTGGGAAGAGAAAAAATGGGAGAGTGTACGATGATGGAGGTCTCTCCAAAACAATCTGGCGGTGTGATAGGAGTTTCAGAATGCAAATTGCTGATGGTGAAGGATCATCGACTCAACCTTCACTTACCTCAGACATGATAGAAACTGTGAGATCATTAGTGCACTATAAGACTGCCCGTCAAGTGGAAGCGAGAAATGCTGAAATAGAAGAATTGAAGAAGATACAAAGAGAAATGGAGGAAGAAATGAGAAGAAAAACTAGAGAATATGAGGAATATATGCGTATTTTTTAACAGTTTATGCAACAATTTGTAGGACGTGATAATCAAGGGCAAAATGACAATGAAGACAGCAACACCGATGAATACAATTAATCTTTATCAATAACACTTTTTATTTATAATTATAAACAATGTTCTTGTAATATTTTAATTTTAATTCAGTATTTTATTAATATAATATTAATTATAAATTATATTATTTATTATATTTAAAAAAATATTACTAATATTATTAATATTGAATTTTTTATTTTATTAAACTATAATTATGAAATTCATTGATTATAAGTATAATAATAATAATAATAATAATAATAATAAGAAAATTAAATATTTACGTTTATAATTTAAAAATTAAATTTTGGTTTTTAGCTTGGGGTAAACCCCCTAGCTAATGTCGCCTGTACTATGCACACTTCCTGCATGCTTCCTGCACACTCCCTGCGTTTACTGAGCACCCTAGCTTGAGATTCCGTTCTTGTCCGCGAGGTTGTTGTTGGCATCGACGACGCGAATGTTCTGGTCTTCCCGAGTCTGGTCATCCATGACGGTGGAAGATGGTTTTTAGCTTTGGTCTTTGAGAGTTTGTAAGACGGGGAAGCTAGTTTCCCCTAGACGGCGCCACTGATCTTACCGGATCAGACTTGGACCGTCACAGCTGGCTCGAACTGAATTTGAGTGAGATGGGGGGGGGGGGGGGAGGGGTACCTGCAAGACACTCCGATGCTAAAATGAGAAACGGAATGGGCAGGAAAAAAGTATGTAGGCGTGTAACAGAATGAATACCTGACCCTCTTAGAACAGAGGGTATTTATAGCCTCTAGCGCTGGGCCAAGGTCCCCTCATTGGGCTGACCAGAACTGGCCCAATAAAGGAACTGCCAGGTTCTACATGTGTAGTGGGGGCCCGCACGTGGTCCCCTTCCTGGTGGTGCTCTGCGAAGAATGAGGAGGGGCGAAGACGCGGTCTTTCCGGAGCCTTGAGGATTCCATAACAGTTAGAGTGGACAGAATCTGCCCTACGGGGAGGGTGCTCGAGCTGGACTCGAGCTGGAGTTCCCTTGGTCGGAGACGCTGCTCATCGCGGGCAATGGCGAGCATAGCAGTTGTAGTCTGTGGTCGGGCACGTTCGGTGATGGTCCGTTTGTGAGCATTCCCCGAGGAGTTGCTTGGATCTGGGCCTTTATCTGCACTTTAAGCCAAGGCGGGCCCAGTCCAGAAAACTATTTATTATATAAATGTGTGATTTTATATAATTGCCAACGTCACAAAAATATACAAGATTACGCACATAAGAATAGGTTGATGAGAGATAAAATGAATATGCAAACCTTGTTCAATTGTGCAGTCTTGCAATGCACTAGTGTTAATTAGAGAAACACGGTACTCCGTTAGATATAATGTGCTTAATTGCAATACGGATTACTGTAAGACACATTACACTTAAGTGGAATACAAAACACTGTAAGGTAAGGTGCACTTAAGTGGAATATACAACAACGTAAAGTACGATGCACTTAAGTGGAATATAGTACACCATAAGGTATTGTGCACTTAAGTGAGCTTGTTGAGCCTGGAGCCCACACAAGAGGTTATATAATTAGAATCCTTGTGTTGAAGTTTTTTCAATTGATAGAATTCGGTTTGTGAAACCCTGTCCGTATTTTCTCTCACTCTCTCTTAATTGTTTCAATCATAACAGCTAGCATTGAGATTGAAAATACTTTGTTTGTGTAGACAGAGTAGAGATATTGTTGTCCAGCGCTCGTGATCATTCTTATAATTCTTCATGGTTAATCACCACAAGAGATAAAGCATTCCATCACTGATCATGTCCATTCATAAGAATCAACTAAAAGCAATTATTCGTTTCTGTTTCATTTTATACTGTGATTTCCCTTCACTTATTTCTATCCAAAAACCAAGCAACTTAATCATTTATAACTTCTAATCTTAACTTGCTTGAGAACCAATTCACATTGAAACCCCACAAACCATTTTCAATTTTTTGAAGATCTTTCCACCATCTTGAATAAAATCTTCCCTCTCTATTGATTCTACCGTTTGACTCACCGTATTTACTCACTTATATACTATACCAAAAGTTATTTTTTTCGTTTACATCCCCTATCCCCATTTACCTATTAGGATAAATTGAAGGCCTTTAGATTTTTAATCCTAAGGCCCCCATCTTCCTTTTTACACTAAACTTTCTCTCATTGGACCCAATTTATTTTCTTAAATTCCACTCCCTGTCCCCATAATTTTTTTAGCAAAATAGATTCAAATTTAGAGATTATACTCGACGAAACTTTAAAGAATGAGAGAAAATAGACCGATAATGCATACAAGGAAGATTTCAATGAGAAAATTCAATCATCTAGAGATAGCTACTTGTGGTTCCACTCAAACAACCTCCTTTTAACTACATCTAATACTGAATTACAAAAAACCTCTCTTCTTAGATCTCCCCCGATTGGTAATCCAAAATATTATTGGGGGGAGATTATTAGGAGCATTGATACATAGTGTAGGAACAAACACCTTTGTGAGAGACACACCACTTCTCCACCTAAAACCTTAAGGTGATAAGTGAGTGGGTTCTCCCACTTATATATGCTTAAGTCTCCACATTCCTATCCAATGTGGGACTATTTCCCCACTTACTCACACTTGCTATATTATTCTAACACTCTCCCACTTGTACTGTACCACTTCGTGGGCGAATTTCGATACAAGTTCCTTCCGGTCCCTTTCTCGAACCAAAGGCTCATGATACTATATTGGGGGAAGATTATTATGAGTATTGATACATAGTGTAGGAACGAGCACCTTTGTGAGAGACACACCACTTGTGTGTCTCTCATAAAGGTGGCTAGTCCTACACTATGTATCAATGCTCCTAGTATCTCCCCCCAACATGGTATCATGAGCCTTTGGTTCGAGAAAGGGATCGAGAAGTGGTGCGGTACAAATGAGCGGGAAAACCCACTCACCTATCACCTTAAGGTTTTAGGTGGAGAAGTGATGTGTCTCTCACAAAAGTGTTTGTTCCTACACTATGTATCAATGCTTCTAATAATCTCCCCCAATAAATATTTGAAAGTCAAGACTCCAATTCTATAGAGCAAAAACATACACCACTTCTTCCAACTAAAATTGGGATATATTAATATCGTCTATTAAGAACTTTATGAATTTTTATCTTTAGACCGAACACCATTTCGAAAAGTTGTAATGTTGTTTTAATAGTCCAAACATTTTTCAACTTTTTACCCCACAACGATTGTCTTGTCTGCATATTGTAAATATGTGACTATCATTGTTTCATTTCCGAAACAATGGCCACCAAAAAGATTTTTATGAACCGCTTTTGACAACAACATATACAGGCTTTCTGCAGCCACAAAAATGAGGAAAGATGAAAATGGGTCTCTTTGTCCGAGACCTCTTTCGATTTTCTATGAACGACATACTTGAACTTGAAAGATATTCAAAGATCAAACTTCTCCATTTTCTATGAAAGTCCATTTTCTCTAAGACATGATCAAGGTACTTCCAATAAACTGAATTGAACACTTTCTCAAAGTCAACTTTGAATAATAGAGTTTAACTTTTCTTTCTTTTCGCTTCATATACTAGTTCATTGGCTATTAGTATGTTGTCTATCATTTGTCATCCTTCAAGGAAATCACTTTGTGGCGAGGAGATTAAATTAAAATTAAAAGATCAAGAGATTAATTAAGTTTTATTAGTGTGTATAAAACATGTCTTGTACAATTAATTGTTATTGAATTGATTTCAATTAACTCAAATTACCTATGGAAGTTAAAAATTTGTGGTCTTCTAAAGATGACAGCGGATTTCTACTTTGAAGGAGTGATATCGAATATTATATTGGCATTTTTGTGGTTGTAAAAGGTAGAAAACCCCATAGAAAATGTGTTACTAAACCAATTTAAACATAATACAATAAATATCATAGAACTAAGCTTCTTTAGTCTTATGTATACAATTCAACACAAGAAGTGAGAAAATATAAAAACTTAGAATAATATAACTTAGACAAATTACAATGTTACATATCTTGAGTGACAATACACTCTTAGAGACACAAACTACTTTAACATAATGAGAATGATAACTTATGGTTAACTATAATAACCATGTCTAACCATATACTTCCTTAGAGTCCAAAATATTTATTTGACAAAAACAAGTTATTACCATAAATATTTCCTCTAAGTTACAACTAAGGAACCATAATGCTAGGTCCATTTCCATCACTTACTTTATCATCTTCAACACAATCAACTTCAACAAACCTCTTCCAAAACCAATGTTTCTTCCACACTCTCTGTGTCATCTCTTCAATAGGAACATTCTTTGTCTCCGGGACAAGAAAAAACACAAAAACAGACATGATCAAGATCCATCCAGAGAAGAAAAAGAAGATACCATACTTGAAATAGCAAAGCATTGAGAGAAAAGCTTGTGCAATAACAGAAGTGAAGAGAAAGTTGACACAAACTGTCACACTTTGTCCTGCAGAACGAGTCTCTAATGGAAATATCTCACTCGGAATAAGCCAACCAAGTGGGCCCCATGACCATGCAAACGCAGACACAAAAATACAAACCATAACTACCACAAGTGCTGCATAGCCTTTTGAGAGTTCCTCAGAATTGTCCTTCACCTTGATCGCTAGTATAACTGCTATCACCATTTGTGACAAAAACATTTGTACACCAGCTTCTAATAACAGCTTCCTACGTCCAAGTTTATCGACCGAATATATCGAGACTATAGTTGATACAACATTGATAGCACCAGTAATCACAGCAGAATAAAGTGCAGCATCATTCTTAAACCCTAATGTATTAAACAAAACCGGAGCATAGAACATTATCGCATTGATCCCAGTGAATTGTTGAAAAACCTGTTTATTAATTATCACCATATTTTAAAAAAATATACAATGATTATAAATCTATAATATGTGACGAATAATATTAGTAGAAATTACCATTAGGGCAATGGAAATGACGAGTTGAGGTCGATTATTGCGCTTGAGGATATTTGTGAAGGGATGTTTCACTTGTTTAGCAACCCGGCTTGCCTCTACAAGCTCTAAGAACTCAGGATCGATGTTGTCTGTGCCGCGAATCTTTCTTAGGACAGTTTTTCCTTGTTCTAAGTGACCACGTTCGATGAGACTGTTTGGGGTGTCTACTACTAAGTAAGCTCCTAAAGTTAGGAGTAATGCTGGGATACCTCCTAATCCAAGGGATACCCTCCAACCCCATTCACCTTTCATTCTGTTTTTGAAACACATATATTCACCATAAAAAGTATAATTTCTTTGAACTCTATCAATTATATCATATAAAATAGAGATTAATTTTTAAATTCTAAAATAAAATATAAATCAATTCTTGAATTTTAAAAATATGAGAATCAACTTACTATATATAAAAGAATAATGGGAATTGTGTTTAAATTCTTTATTTTTAATGTAATTTAAAATTTTTAATTTAATTTAAATTTATTTAATATAATATAATTTTTATAAAATTATGTTTAAGTAGAATACTTTACATTTTTTATCAAATAAAAAAACTAATTTAAAATAAGGATGAATTAGAACTTCGGAAGTAATATATGAAAGACAAAAAAAAGGATGCAATGCAATAAAGTAACTTACTTGTTGGTGGCATAATTGACAAGGTTAGCAAAAAGAATCCCAAGTGTGATATCAAGCTGAAACAGTATATTCAATGCTCCACGTATTCTCGAAGGTGCAATCTCTGAAAGAAAAACTGGCACTGCCTGTCTCGATAAAAAATTATTAGTGAGTTCCAAAAGCCAATTAGTCTTTAATTAACTAACACAACTATGAACTTTCCTCCTCAATCCTCACACCATTAAATTATCATTTCTTAAACAGTCGATTAATTGAATTAGACTAGAACTGTGCATCGTTTGTATTACATAAAGTATTACTTAAGGAATCAAAGCTATAAAGTCCAAATAATAATGACTAAAACAAGATAGAGATAGGTACAAAAAAAGTATGAATGGAACTTGTCAATAGAATATTTTAATCATTAATAAAAAATATTATTCATTTTTAGATTAATTAAATGAGACCATGCCCAAAGTGGTCTCCAGCAAGTGTCATGACTAAACAATATCAAATATAGTAAGAATATGCCACCTAAAGTTGTTTTCTGTTTGAGCACCATTCCATGAAATATTATATATTGATAATACCATTGATTGATATTTTTGTAAAATAATATAATATTATATAAAATAATAGAACTTTAATTTGTTGGGACCCTCTTATTATTTTTACATTTCTCTTCTAAGAGTATTTTATTTTTGTTGGTGTACAAAGAAGAGATGAAAGACAAGAAGAATATATTTAATGACGACTACAAAAATAAGAATAATGATTTATATTGAATTACATTGACCTACCTCACTAGGCTATTTATACACAAAATTAGAGTATGATAAAATATTAAATATCCTCTAACAAAGATATAAAAAGATCTAAAAAGATATTCTCAAAATATAAATTAATATCTAAAAAGATATTTCTAAAATATAAATTAATTCTAACATCATTCCTTAATTTATATTTACACATAATTGACAACACCAATTTCATCCCTCAAACGAAGAAATTGATCACCTTTGTTAGAACATCTGTCAGGTGCTTCTGGATGCTACAATACACAACTTTTAATATTTCATTCTGAACCCGATTCCTCAGAAAATAATACTTGGTCTTAATATGCTTGCTTCTCCCATGCAGCACTAGGTTCTTGGCAAGATTGGTTGCAGACTTGTTATCAATCATCAGCTTTAGAGGTTTATTTACCTCAATCTTCAGATCTTTCAGCAAGTTCAGAATCCACACAGCTTGGCATGCAGTCAGAGCGCCTGTAATATATTCAGCTTCACAGGTTGATAGTACAACAACGGGTTGCTTCTTGGAACACCAAGAAATATGACCTCCCAGAAATTTGAATAAGTATCAAGAAGTACTTCTTCTGTCAACTCTATCTCCACACCAATCAGAGTCTGAATAACTCAGAAGTTCTGATTCAACCTTTCTTTCAGATGGAAATAACACTCCATACTTCAGAGTTCCCTTCACATACCTCAGAATCCTGGCAGCAGCTTGGTAATGAGACCACTTTGGTTTACTCATAAATCTGCTAATCATTCCAACTGCATAACAAATATCAGGTCCGGTGTTACACAAACACCTTAGAGAACCAACCAACAGTTTGAAGGTTATAGCATCCATATCCTCTCCATCAGAATCAAAGTCCAACTTCTGATTCGTATCAGCAGGTGTGATAGAAATTTTGGAATTTTCTAACTTAAATCTCTTCAGAAGCTCAAGTTCATACTTCATCTGATGCAAAATGATTCTTTTCTCAGAATATATAAATTTCATCCCTAGAAAGAAACTCATTTTCCCAAGATCTGTCATCTCAAACGCATTAATCAGAACCTTCTTGAACTCAACTATCTCTTGTTCTGAACTTCTTATTAGTAATATGTAATCAACATACAAACATACCAGAAGCATATTACATTCTGAAGTGTGCTGAACATAAACAATATACTCCATCTCACACGTCTGAAACCCTTGTTCCTTGAAAACAGAATCAATCTTCAAATTCCAAGCTCTAGGAACTTGCTTCAATCCATACAAGGCTTTGTGTAATATGAACACCATCCCTTCCTGATTCTTTTTCTTAAATCCAGAAGATTGTGACACGTATACCTCTTCTTGTAATGGACCACTCAGAAATGTAGATTTTACATCTAAGTGCATCAGAGGCCAATTCCTGTCAGCAGTTATTGCAATCACTAGTCTGATTGTTTTATGTCTCGCTACAGGTGCAAACACTTCAAAGTAATCCAGCCTAGGCTTCTGTAGAAAGCCTCTTGCTACTAATCTTGCTTTGTGTTTGCCAATTGATTCATCTGGATTTAGCTTCTGCTTGAATACCCATCTGACGTTGATGGCTTTATTTCCTTTTGGAAATTCTGCCAGCTTCCAACTCTTATTTCTCTCTGAAGCATCAAGTTCTTCTTTCATGGCATGTAACCAAACTTGCTTTTTAAGAGCCTCTTCTGCACTCACGGGTTCAGATTCTGCTAACATTGCACACTGAATAACTCCTCCTTCAGATTCTACTTCAGTGTCTTGCAACATGTCAAACTTTGCAAATCTTCTTGTGATACTTCTGACTCTTTGTTACCTCTGAACTAGACCTTCATAACTTTGGACACCAGAACTTTCTCCTCCAGAAGCACTTGCTTCAGAAATTGGACTTTCTCCAGAACCTTGACTGTCTTTAGAGTTTGGATCTCCATCGGAGTCAGAGTCAGTATCATCTTCTCCTTCTGTATCTTCTTCAGAGTCAGAGTCTTTACCAGCTTCAGAAACATGTGTTTTTGACTTTTCTTCAGGAGTTCTCTCATCAGGGCCAGGATGAAACCTTTTCCAATTCCAAACTTCTGATTCTTTTACAATGACGTCTCTGCTGAACTCAACTTTGTTAGTTTATGGACAATAAAGTTTGTACAAACCTGTACTGTGGTACCCCACTAGTAACATTACTTACTTTTATCATCCAGCTTTTATCTTCTGGCTTCTGGGGCATCTTTGTAACATACAGAACCAAACACCTTCAGATGACTAACACTTGGTTTATCTCCGGTCCACTTCTGAATAGGGACCATTTCCTTTAATTTCTTTGTTGTACATCTATTGAGCATATAACATGCAGTGGCAACAGCTTCTCCCCCACAGAGTATGAGGAAGCTTCTTCTCTTTCAGCATGATTCTCACTATATCAAGCAAAGTACGGTTTCTTCTTTCAGCAAGAATATTGTGTTGAGGAGTATAGGGAGCAGTAACCTCATGTTCAATTCCATTCTCCTCACAGAACCTTCTAAATTTTGTGGAGTTATACTCACCACCACCATCAGTTCTAAGAATCTTCAGAGTCTGGCCACTCTGATTCTCAACCTTCAGTCCGAACTTCTTGAATTCAGCAAACACCTTGTGTTTGAACTTTATGAGATATACCCATGTCATTCTGGTGAACACATCAACAAATGACACAAAATATGTATTCCCTCCAATCGATGCTACTGGAAATGGACCACACACATCAGAATGCACTACTCCCAAGACATGCTTTGCTCTTGGAGCTACTTTTGATGCAAATGGTAATCTTGGTTGCTTCCCTTTCATGCACACCTTACATGACTTCTCAGGCTTCTTGATTGTAGGAATTCCATGTACCAGCTTCTTTGGTTTTAGATGCCCTAAACTTCTGAAATCAGATGACCAAATCTTCTGTGCCACATCTCACTCTCCTTGACAACACTTATTGCACTAAGGCATTCAGAGTCTGCAGTTCTAACATTCACCTTAAATGTTATGTTCCTTCCCTGTTCTGACTTCATAATCAACTTCTGATTACAGTCTTACAACTTCAGAAGATTGTCCTTCATGGTAAACGAAAAACCTTTCTCAACCAGTTGTCCCACACTCATCAGATTGCTTTTCATGCTAGGTACATACCATACATTCTGGATCACTGTTGCTTTCCCATTGTTTAGAATGATTCTGACATTTCCCATACCTTCTGCATTGAGGTATTTATCATCACCACATTCAATCTTTGTACTCTTTCCAGAGTCGAAATCAACCAACCATTTCTTGTTTCCAGTAAGATGGTTTAAACACCCTGTGTCCATATACCACCATTCTGATGAATTCAGATCATCAGTTTCAAAATCCAACAATAGCACAAGTTTATCATCAGACTCTCCTCTGGCTATATTTTCTTCTTCTGACTTTCTTTCTTTGTTCGACCAACAATCTTTGGCATAGTGACCAAAGTTCTTGCAACAGTAACACTGAACATTCTTCTTATCAGACTTCTCATTTCCCTTCTGGACATTCTTCTGCCTTTTAGAGTTTGAAGCTTCCGACCTTTGACCACCATTAGTTTTCTTCCTGGCTTCTGACCAAGTCTGCTTCTGATACTTCTTACCAGAAGTTACTTTCAGAGCCTGCTGCTCTACTTCCCTCTCAAAAGTTCTCACAGTAATATGCAACTCATGCGCCTCTAGACTAATTTGCAGTTCTTTAACTCTCATGGTGCTTAGATCTTTGGAATGTTCAATTGCTACCACAATGTAATCAAACTGGGAAGTTAAAGATCTTAAGATCTTCTCAATGATTACTTGTTCAGAAAGAGTTTCTCCATAATATTTCATCTCATTAGTGATCATAATCACTCTAGAGATGTACTCATAAACCTTCTCGTTGTCCTTCATTTTGAGATTCTCATTTTTTTTAGAGACTGAAGTTTCACCTTCTTCAGTGATGCGTTACCACCGTAACATCTGATCAGTGTGTCCCACGCAACCTTTGCTGTTTCAAAATCAACAATCGTCTCAAACACGTTCGCATCCACACATTGATAGGTGTAGAACAACGCCTTCTGATCTTTCTTCCTTAGCACCCTATGTGTTATCTTTTGTGCCTCTGTTGCGTCAGCTTCTAACAGATCATAGCCATCGGTGACAAGATATAACACATCTTGAGAGCCAAACAACACACGCATCTGGATCTTCCAATGATTCTAGTTTTTGCCATCAAATACTGGAAGCTTGGAATGAATATCGCCGTTGTTTTCGTTCATCTTCTACCTTGTGCAATTTACGATTATCAACTCATTAAAGCAGTATTTCCCATGTTTCCCCGTGAATTTCTAACCGATGCTCTAGATACTAATTATTAATGCACAAAGAAGAGATGAAAGGCAAAAGGAATATATTTAATGACGGCTACAAAAATAAAGAATAATAATTTATAATAAATTACATTGACCTACCTCATTAGACTAGTTATACACAAAATTAGAGTATAATAAAATCTTAAATATACGATAATAAAGATATAAAAAAATCTAAAAAGATATTCCTAAAATATAAATTAATATCTAAAAAGATATTTTTAAAATATAAATTAATTCTAACCGTTTTTTCTTTATTTTAATTTGGACTCTCCTTGAAATGGTTTGAGGATCCTTCTACTCTATATTATTATTTAGCCTCCCAACAAAATCTTTTGATTGGTTGTTGTGTGCATATAGATGTGTTCATACAAGAACCACTCATTTACTAAAAAGTTGAGTTTAAAGTTATGTTCTTTATTTTTCTTTTAGAGTGACTAATTTGTTCCCACTATTTAATAAACCTTTTAAAATTGATTTAAAGATGAACTCTTATATTTTTTTAATAAATTTTTGTATACTAATAAAAATGACAAATAAATATAATAATTTTTAAAATTTACAAAATATAGTATAGTTCATTTTTTGAATTTTTAATAAAAATAGTTCATTTTTTTTAAAACATAAATATAATATTATAGCATTAGTCCAATAAATATAATATTTATTTAATTTTATATTGAATCTGTTTCTTTCAAATATCTCGACCTATTAATTATTAAGTTCTTGGAACAATATATAAGTATGTTATTTTGTATGAGAGGGTGTTTTTCTAATTAATTTGGGCTCAATTCTTATTTTCTACTTTATTTTTTGAAAGTTGTCGATTAAGGCTTAAAAAATGATTGTAAGATTTTAGAGGAATTTTTTTAAGAGTGAATTGAAAAGAATTTTCAAAATTTTTAAAGTTGATAGTCTAAATTTTGTAAGTCTAAGTGTAAAGGAAGGTTGAAAGTTCATGACTTTCACTTGGTTAATAATATGATTTTTTTTTAAAAATAACAATGAAGGATGATTTTGAGTGGCATTGACTTGCATAAATATATTCTTTTAGTTAGATACGAGATTCACATTATCTTATCATATGAAGGAGGGGAGGTCGGAATTTAGACAGTTCTCTATCTCGTGAAAGGGGATATATTTCATTGACTCATGCATATATGCTTCGGATTAGACTACTTGTCTAGGAAGGTATTTAATGGATACTATTTTTTTTATGAAGAGTCGTAGATAGAGACGACCCTCTTAAGAGTTTGTTTTTCTAGGATTTTTCAAATTCTCATTCAAGTGAGATCATATTATGGGGAGCATTGACTATTGGAATTTGGAATTTAGAATCTGTATATTTGGCATGTGACTTTAGATTGAAAAAGGAAATTTTGTGTGGGATATTAGAGTTGGTAACTGAATGGTCTTGATTATTGATAGTTCTATAATTTTTTTAAATGATGATTGTTGACGATGGGTTTACGACGAAGATACAATGATTAAACTCAAGTAGACCTAAATTTTTCTTTCATGTGCTAAATTTCAAACTAAAAAGTTAACTTTATGAGTTGGCATGATCATGCCTTTTTGGTGCTAAAAAGTTGAAATTCTTCTAAAAATATAGTTTTTTTTTATGGAAGTTACTCTATGATAAGATTCTCACCAGAGAGAATCTATATCAATAATGGATTCGTGTGAAATACTATTTTATGTCAGGAGTGACAGAGTCTACTAATCATCTTTTTGTTACTTGTAAATAGACATATTTGTAATGAATATAATTATTTTGTCTTCTTGAAAATAATTTCTTAGCAAGACCAATCTAATTGGATATTTCACATGTCTAAACTGATAGAGACTTAAGAGTGAATCTCTTTAGGCCCACAAGATTATTGAAATGAGTGAAGGTTTTGCAATTAAGCTATCTTAATATGATATGATGTATGTTTTATATATCTTAGCTTTATTTAGAGGAACATAAACACTTTTTTTTTCTTCTAAGATGGTCCTGTTTAATTGTATGTATTTTTAAGTTTTCTTTTATGTTTTTGCTTTAGTTCCTTTGGACCCTTTGGATATGAGGTATCTTAATTGGTGCATTTTGTTTCTTCATATCTATATAATTTTCGTTCTTCTTTGTCTTCTTTCTTTATAAGTCGAAAGAAAACACATGAGATGATTTGTTTCAAAAATATAAGTCGAAAAAGTTAGTAAAGAAGATTGATTTAACTGATACATTAATATTAATTTATATAATAAATATTAATCAAAATGTGAAAATTATAGGCTTGTTTAAAACTTTTAGTTTTTAAATATCTCAAAAATTCCTTTAACTAATTAAAAATGCCACTCTTAAAATTTGATTTTAACTTGTCTAAAGTGACTCCTCCGAGAAAATATAAAGAACTCTGAACACTTGTTAAAAAACTAATCTAAACAATTAAAAACCAACACTTAAAGAATGTTATTCTTACACCACAATTTGACATCAATACTTATATCAAACACTGTTTATCGTAGTTATACGATAAACAATATTTTTTTAAATAAAATATATATATATATTTATGAACATTATCGTAAGAAGTGTGTGAACAGTACGTGAATAATATCTATGAACAATTTGTGAACAATGCTTTTTAATGGTGAAATAAAGTTGGTTAATAAAATAGAAAAAATTAGTTAATTAAGTGATCAAATTGGTTAATACACACCCAAATTTTAAAAATAATTTTTAGTAATAAAATAAAGTTGGTTAATAAAATATAAAAAATTGATTAAAGAAATTGGTTAATATACTACTTAGATTTTAAAAGTAATTCTTAGTAGTGAAATAAAATTGGTTAATTAAGTGTAAAAAATTGATTAATAAAGTGATAAAGTTGGTTAATCCAACCATTTTTAAAAAATAATAAAAAACAAAAAATATTTTTTTAAAATATTTTTTTAATATTATGATATGTACCTTTTCACCAATACGATAAACAATCAAATACGGTATAGATATAACTTTGAGTGTAAAAATAACATTTTTCATACATATATACACATATATGAGTCTCAACCATTGTTTTATTAATCAAATATAGATTATCACTAAATTTCAATTCTAGAGTTGTTTTAAGGGAAGTACTAACCTGGTTTGCAAAACCAATTCCACAACCAAGTAAGATCCTACCACATATAAGCATGGCAAGATTTTGAGCGGCTGCATTAAAAGCAACTCCAGCAATGAAAAAGAAACCAGCAATCAACATTGTGAGCCTTCTCCCTAATACTCGAGTTGTATAAGATGCGAAGAATGTTACTAATAAACCAGCCAGATACAATGACGAAGTGAATAGCTGCAACCCTTGGTTGTCGTATTTGCAGTAGTTACTTTCTGATCCTTCTTCTGCAATTTGTCGATACACTTTCGGAAAGAATTTTTCCAAGAATGGTGGCATCGATGCCACACCACCTTAAAATATGATTTCTTTCGGTAAGAACTAAATTATATGAAATAAGTAACTAGAAAAGTCTTTAAGGACGTGCAAGATAAGGGATCGCACAGAGCCAAAAGTTTCATAGGGACTCTGAAAACTTAAGACAGTCATTTAAGAGATTACTTACTTACCTGAAACTCCAACATCGTAACCAAACATAAGACCACCGGTGGCAGCCATCATGCATGAAATGATAATGATAGGAGTTATCTTTGCCTCAAACTCTTTGTTATTGTCTCTGGCGAAACCTCCTCCAGTCATAGTTTTTAATTTTTCTGTGAATGATTAAGCTATCTTTAACAAAGCTTTGATACGTGATACACACTGGTACAATAGAATCGTGATAATAGATTCAATAGATGAATAAATTTAGTAACTAGATTGAGAGGAATATTTGAAATGGTGCATAATGTTGGCTTATTTATTTAACTTTTAATTTTGGATTTATCGATAGTAATACAATGTAGTAGGAATGAGATTACATCATATACTAGTAAATCTTTTGTTTCTTGTATGATAGCTTTAAAAATTTTAAAATATATTTAAAGTGTGAAATACTTTTTTTATATGAAAAAAAAACATATAAAAATTTTATAACATCTCAAATATTAAAAAAAAAAAAAACTTAAACTAGAATTCAAATCTATTAATTTGATATCACCCTTATGAAAAATTACCCTTCCTATTAATTTTTTTAGGTACAAATATTGAAAACATGTATATTTTTTTTATAAAAATTTGTTGAAGAAGATAGATGGTTAGAAGATAAATGTTATTATATTTTTATTTTAAGAATTAATAGATATTTGTCTTTCAGTCTCAAATATAAACTTAAATTGATGTATTTAGTCGATATTTAGTAATAATTCAATCGAATTTTTATTTGACTTTTGGATACGTAAATTTATTTTCGCCATGAAATTTAGTTTTCAATGTGATGCTAAATATTAAGTTCATTAGCTTAAAAAGTATAATTTCTTTGAACTCTATCAATTATATCATTTAAAAAAATTTGTTATTATTTTTTACTTTGATTGTTGCATTATTGTACGACGTCTCTTATGTTTTACTTCTTTTTTTTTGTTTTTCTACCACCACCACTTACTAATGTTAATGTTGATAAAAACATTTTGGTCTATAAAAATAAATGTTTTTTTTATTATTTTTCTTTCACTAATTATATTATTTACTGTTAAACAAAATATAATTAATTTTCATGGAGTTAACATATTTTTTTAATGATATTATTTAATCATTCAATTTTATTAATTTATTATATATTAAATAATGTATTTATATTTCTTATTTACGTTTTCTTTTCATTTATTTATTATTCTTTTTTTTTATTATGTTTGTCATGGTTTGTATTCTTCTTATTTATCTCTAATTTTATATTTAAATATTTGCATATATAAGATAAGATGATTTGTAAAAATATATATTAGTATTAGTTTATGAGTTTTTGTATATATTTTTACACTTTGCGAATGTTGTTATATTTTAGTTTTAATCATTCTAACAGTATATATTTTAGAAGGTGCAATCTCTGAAAGAAAAACTGGCACTGCCTGTCTCGATAACATATTATTAGTGAGTTCCAAAAGCCAATTAGTCTTAATTAATTAACACAACTATGAACTTTCCTCCTCAATCCTCACACCATTAAATTATCATTTCTTAAACAGTCGATTAATTGCATTAGACTAGAATTGTGCATCGTTTGTATTACATAAAGTATTACTTAAGGAATCAAAGCTATAAAGTCCAAATAATAATGACTAAAACAAGATAGAGATAGGTACAAAAAAAGTATGAATGGAACTTGTCAATAGGATATTTTAATCATTAATTAAACATATTATTCATTTTTAGATTAATTAAATGAGACCATGCCCAAAGTGGTCTCCAGCAAGTGTCATGGCTAAACAATATCAAATATAGTAAGAATATGCCACCTAAACTTGTTTTCTGTTTGAGCATCATTCCATGAAATATTATATATCGATAATACCATTGATTGATATTTTTGTAAAATAGTATAATATTATATAAAAGAATAGAACTTTAATTTGTTGAGACCCTCTTATTATTTTTACATTTCTCTTCTATGAGTTGTTTGTTTTTTCTTTATTTTAATTTGGACTCTCCTTGGAATGGTTTGAGTATCCTTCTACTCTATATTATTATTTAGCCTCCCAACAAAATCTTTTGATTGGTTGTTGTGTGCATATGGATGTGTTCATACAACAACCACTCATTTACTAAAAAGTTGAGTTTAAAGTTATGTTCTTTATTTTTCTTTTAGAGTGACTAATTTGGTCCCACTATGCTTAATAAACCTTTTAAAATTGATTTAAAGGTGAACTCTTATATTTTTTAATAAACTTTTTATACTAATAAAAATGACAAATAAATATAATAATTTTTAAAATTTACAAAATATAGTATAGTTCATCTTTTGAATTTTTAATACAAATAGTTAATTTTTTTTAAAACATAAATATAATATTATAACATAGTAGTCCAATAAATATAATGTATATTTAATTTAATATTGAATCTCTTTCTTTCAAATACCTCGATCTATTGATGATTAGGTTCTTGGAACAATATATAAGTATGTTATTTTGTATGAGAGAGTATTTTTTTAATTAATTTGGGCTCAATCTTTATTTTCTACTTTCTTATTTGAAGTTGTCAATTAAGGCTTAAAAGATGATTGTAAGATTTTAGAGGAATTTTTTTAAGAGTGAAGTTAAAAGAGTTTTCAAAATTTTTAAAGTTGATAGTCCGATATTTTGTAAATCTAAGTGTAAAGAAAGATTGAAAGTTCATGACTTTCACTTGGTTAATAATATGATTCTTTTAAAAAATAACAATGAAGGATGATTTTGAGTGACATTGGCTTGCAGAAATATACACTACGCCAAAAACGAGTTTTGGCACCGCTACATAGACAGCGCTTATGCAAAAGCGCCGCTGTAGGTATTCAAAAAAAAAAAACTTTAGACAGCGCTTACTAAAAGCGCTGCTATAGACCTTATCAAAGGCAGCGCTTTTTCTCCCTAAGCGCTGCTATAGGGTTTTAAAAAAAAATTAAAATTAAATAATTAATAAAAGCGCTGCTAAAGGGTATGCTTTAGACATCGCTTTCAAAAAGCGCTGCTAAAGGTGTAAGTCTAAAAGCGCTGCTAAAGGGGGGTAAACCTAAAGCGCTGTTAAAGGGGGGTACCTTTAGCAGCGCTTCTTGAAAGCGCTGCCTTTGTGTAAATCTAAAAGCGCTGCTAAAGGGGGGGTAAGCCTAAAGCGCTGCTAAAGGGGGGTACCTTTAGCAGCGCTTCTTGAAAGCGTTGCCTTTGGTTTGTTAATTTATTTCTAAACCCCTAACCCCTAAATCAGATTTCCAGAAACACAAATCGCTGTTCATCTTCTTCTCCATTCGTCATCTCCATTACTCCCTTTGTTCCGTCATCTCTCAAACCCTCCTCTCAACCGCTCCATCTTCTTCGTTACCAACCACCACCATCAATTGTCAACCGTCTCCATCCTTCATCCCTTCATTGAAACCTTTATGAAAATATAATACATGATAAATAAGCCACTAACATCACATCAAATAACACAAAACAAGCGTTTTATCCGAGACTCTTATTTCGCCTGTTTGAACTCGTTGAAATTTCTTTCTTCTCGGATAATTGGGTCAGCATCGTGTTGGAGTTTGGATTTTCGATCTGATCCAGTTACTGTTGGTGTGCTGAATTCTTCAATCTGTGAGTTGTTTTGTATTTTGGGTATGTTTTCCGTCTCTTATTTCGGTTCTAGGGTTTAGATGATTTGGTGTTTTTGTAGACTTTTTTTCTTTCTTTCAGCGAGAGAAGATTATGATGGAGACCAATGATCAAAGAAAGGTTAGAATACTTTAGCTGAAGTTGTTATTAACATGATTCATAATTTGCCTCAGGTTGCCTACATTGAATTTGAACATAATTTTTGATGCGGATCGATGGAGAGTCCTCAGTCTGTCAACAGTCCAAGAAGAACACTGAGTCTATCAAGACAACGGAGGGCAACTGTGTCATTTCTCGATTCCGACAACAATAACAAACCCGCCTCTGCTTTATCATCTGATCATGGCCCTAAGCCTTCTGAAGTATACGGTTTCGTCGGCTCTATAACCACCGTTGTTGCCACAGGTCTTCTTTCTTATCGCCTATTTGCAAAAGCAATTGTATTCGTGTTTGGGTACAATAGAAATAGTTTATCTTTCCAAATGGAAGGTAATTGCATACTAACATTGATGAAATCAAACTGAATCGTGTTTACTTAGTTGTCATTTCATATCATACTTGAAACAGAGTTTTATATACAGGATATGCCGAGGGAGTGGATCTTCAGGTTTTCAATTTAATACTTGATGTTAAGTTATGATTAATTTCACAAATTCTTGTGTTTGCTTACAACTCGAAGTTTTTTGAGCTAGAGTTAAAACAACTAGGACCATGGATTCAACTTGAAGTCCCATCTGATCTAACTTCTCTGATTTTCTGTCGTTTTAGCCATGATTGAAATAATTCTGTGTTCTGTACTATTTTGTATAACTACTAGTTTTCCATGTGCCAACAATGTTTTTAAGGTTTTTTTTTGTGATATTATTGTTGCATTTCATGATTTATATTTTTACTTGTTCATTTTCCTTTTGTGGGTAGTTATTTTCTTGGTATGGGCATATGTTCCAGAATCATGGCTACATTCTATTGGCATATCCTACTATCCTAGCAGGTTAGGCAGCTTAATTCTCGTTCTCATTTGAAGCTTTATCAACTATGCAAGTCCTCTATTGTGTGTGAAATTAATTGCGTGCACAAAAACAAGAAGATTACTTTGAATTAACTTTAAAATGAGAAGATGCGTCTTAATTTAATTTTGTACAATTGTAAGCTAAAACATATGGAATTACATTGTGAATTCAATTGTTTATGACAAAATTGATTGAAAACTACTTATGCATTGCAGATACTGGGCTTTGGCGGTACCAACATATGTGATGGTGACCATTGTATTAATGTTGGCATTCTACATTGGTCTTAACTTCATGTCAACGCCTTCTCCTGCATCCCTAAACACAGTTTATGGTGAGTTTAATGCAGATTTTTTTAGCGATTGAGGTGTGGTTAATTCTGATTGCTATATTACTACTTCCTAAGCTTTTTTGCACATGTGAATAATTTATTTATATATATGCATACAAAAGTTGTGTTTGTCCTCTTCATCTAAGTTATGTCATTTTAACATTGGAGAATTTCATTTTGGTTATTCTCTTCTCAAAACTGATCTATTATTTAGGGCCAGGTCAATTTGTGAGTTCAAGTTTTTGATAACTGATTTCGACATGTCTTTGTTCAGATGAATTCAGCAGGGATCCTTTGAGTCATGATTTTTCAGAAGAGGGGGATGAGAAGCCCATTGATCCCATATCTGATATTGGTATAGACAGGATCAATGATGCTATGTTCAACAATTCAGCCTAACAACAAGACATTCAGAGCTGTTTCCAAATTCCAACATTAGGGTGGATATTCTACAAAGCAGTTGTTACTGATATGAGTTCTCTCATATGAGATTATAATGTTCTTAGCTTTTAGACTCATTTCAATTTATTTACTCATTTCAAAGCAATTGTCACCATCAATTTATTTACTCATTTCAATGAATAATTAATGTTAATGATGTTTTTATTTAAGGTTTCTGTATGACAAGTTGATTCGCCCGCGTGGATTGGAGTCCAGATTCGCTTTCATAAATCCCAACATTGTCCACGCAGGGTCAATATAGGTGCAGCTCGATGTAGAAGATAGAGTTATATATTCATCATGGATTTTGTTTCATTGTTGTATATACTAATGTTGTTGTTGTGTATATTGTACAAAAAGGAGTGAAGAGATGAATATTGATGTAATTATAATATTGTTTCATTGTTGTATATACTAATGTTGTTGTTGTGTATATTGTGCATAAAGGATTGAAGAGATGAATATTGATGTTGTTATAATATTGTTTCATTGTGGTATATATTAATGTTGTTGTTATGTATATTGTGCAAAAAGGATTTAAGAGATGAATATTGATGTTGTTATAATATTGTTTCATTGTGGTATATATTAATGTTGTTTTTGTTTAAAATGTTATAATGAAGCTATAGTTTCTAGTGCAAAAACGGTGAGAATAAATTTGATAGGCAGCGTTTTGTTTTAAATGAAAGCGCTGTCTAAAGTGATTGAAAAAAAAAAAAAAAAAAAAAAAAAGGAAAAGCGCTGCTAAAGGGGGGGTAATAGACAGCGCTTTTCATGAAAGCGCTGTCTAAAGTGATTGAAAAAAAAATTAAAAAAAAATATGAGGAAAAGCGCTGCTAAAGGGGGGGTAATAGACAACGCTTTTCATGAAAAGCGCTGTCTAAAGTGATTGAAAAAAAAATGAGGAAAAGCGCTGCTAAAGGGGGGTAATAGACATCGCTTTTACCAAGCGCTGTCTAAAGTGATTGAAAAAAAAGCGTTGTTTATACCTTTAGCAGCGGAGGTTTTAGCAGCGCTTTTAAGCACTGTTAAAGGCCTAAAAAAGCACTGTCTAATCCCTTGTTTGGCATAGTGATATTCTTTTAGCTAGATACGAGATTCACATTATCTCTTATCATATGAAGGAGGGGAAGTCGGAATTTAGACAATTCTCTATCTCGTTAAAGGGGATATATCTCATTGGCTCATGCATATATGCTTCAGATTAGATGACTTGTCTAAGGAGGTATATAATGGATACTATTTTTTTTAGGAAGAGTCGTAGATAGAGACGACCCTCTTAAGAGTTTGTTTTTCTTGGATTTTTCAAATTCTCATTCAAGTGAGATCATATTATGGGGAGTATTGACTATTGGAATTTGGAATGTGTATATTTGGCATGTGACTTTAGATTAAAAAAGGGAATTTTGTGTGGGATATTAGGGTTGGTAACTGAATTGTCTTAATTATTGATAGTTCTACAATTTTTTTAAATGATGATTGTTGACGATGGTTTTACGACGAAGATATAATGATTAAAATCAAGTAGACCTGAATTTTTATTTCATGTGCTAAACTTCAAACTAAAAAGTTAACTTTAGGAGTTGGCGTGATCATGCCTTTGGTGCTGAAAAGTTGAAATTCTTCTAAAGATATAGTTTTTTTATGGAAGTTACTCTAAGATAAGATTCTCACTAGAGAGAATCTATATCGATAATGGATTTGTGTGAGATACTATTTTATGTTAGGAGTGATAGAGTCTATTAGTCATCTTTTTGTTACTTGTAAATAGACATATTTGTAATGGTTATAATTATTTTGTCCTTGAAAATAATTTCTTAGTAAGATCTCTTGTTACTCTCACTTATCGAGTAGCTAATAGGACATTTCATATGTCTAAACCGATAGAGACTTAAGAGTGAATCTCTTTAGGCCCACAAGATTATTGAAATGAGTGAAGGTTTTGTAATTCAGTTATCTTAATATGATACGATGTATGTTTTATATATCTTAGTTTTATTTAGAGGGACATAAGCCATTTTTTTCTTATTTTTTCTTCTAAGATTGTCCTGTTTAATTGTATGTAATTTTAAGTTTTCTTTATGTTTTGCTTTAGTTCCTTTAGACCCTATGAATATGAGGTATCTTAATTGGTGCATTTTGTTTCTTCGTATCTATATAATTTTCGTTCTTCTTTGTCTTCTTTCTTTATAAGTCGAAAGAAAACACATGACATGATTTGTTTTAAAAATATAAGTTGAAAAAGTTAGTACAAAAGATTGATTTAAATGATACATTAATATTAATTTATTTAATAATTATTAATCAAAATGTGAAAATTATAGGCTTGTTTAAAAGTTTTAGTTTTTAAATATCTCAAAAATTCATTTAACTAATTAAAAATGCCACTCTTAAAATTTGATTTTAACTTGTCTAAATTGAGTCCTCCGAAGAAATATAAAGAGCTCTGAACAATTGGTAAAAAAAGTAATCTAAACAATTAAAAACCAACACTTAAGGAATGCTATTCTTATACCATCAATATTTACAACAAACACTGTTTATCATAGTTATACGGTAAACAATATTAATAAATAAAAAATATATATTCATGAACAGTATTGTGAACATTATGTGAACGGTCCGTGAATAAAATCCATGAACAATTTGTGAATAATGCTTTTTAATGATGAAATAAAGTTGGTTAATAAAGTATAAAAAATTGGTTAATTAAGTTATCAAATTGGTTAATACACACCCAGTTTTTAAAAATAATTTTTAGTAATAAAATAAAGTTGGTTAATGAAATGTAAAAAGTTGATTAAAGAAATAGGTTAATATACTACTTAGATTTTAAAAGTAATTTTTAGTAGTGAAATAACATTAGTTAATAAAGTGTAAAAATTTAGTTAATAAAGTGATAAAGTTAGTTAATCCAACCATTTGTAAAAAATAATAAAAAATAAAAAATATTTTTATAAAATATTATTTTAATATTATAATATTTACCTTTTCACCAATACGACAAACAGTCAAATACGGTTTAGGTATAACTTTGAGTGTAAAAATAACATTTTTCATACATATATACACATATATGAATCTCAACCATTGTTTTATTAATAAAATATAGACTATCACTAAATTTCAATTCTAGAGTATGTTTCAAGGGAAGTACTAACCTGGTTTGCATAACCAATTCCACAACCAAGTAAGATCCTACCACATATAAGCATGGCAAGATTTTGAGCAGCTGCATTAAAAGTAACTCCAGCAATGAAGAAGAAACCAACAATCAACATTGTGAGCCTTCTCCCTAATACTCGAGTTGTATAAGATGCAAAGAATGTTACCAATAAATCAGCCAGATACAATGAAGAAGTGAATAGCTGCAACCCTTGGTTGTCGTATTTGCAGTAGTTACTTTCTGATCCTTCTTCTGCAATTTGTCGATACACTTTCGGAAAGAATTTTTCCAAGAATGGTGGCTAATGCCACACCACCTTAAAATATAATTTCTTTCGATAAGAACTAAATTGTATGAAATAAGTAATTAGAACAGTCTTTAAAGACGTGCAAGATAAGGGATCACACAGAGCCAAAAGTTTCACAGGGACTCTGAAAACTTAAGACAGTCATTTAAGAGATTACTTACTTACCTGAAACTCTAACATCGTAACCAAACATAAGACCATCACTGGCAGCCATCATGCATGAAATGATAATGATAGGAGTTATCTTTGCCTCAAACTCTTTGTTATTGTCTCTGACGAAGCCTCCTCCGGTCATGGTTTTTAATTTTCCTGTCAATGATTAAGCTATCTCCAACAAAGCTTTTGTACGTGATACACACTGGTACAATAGAATCGTGATAATAGATTCAATAGATGAATGAATTTGGTGACTAGATTAAGAGGGATATTTGAAATTGTGCATAATGTTGGCTTATTTATTTAGCCTTTAATTTTGGATTTATCGATGGTAATACAACGCAATAGGAATGGAATTACATCATATACTAGTAAATCTTTTGTTCCTTGTATGATATCTTTAAAAATTTTAAAATATATTTAAAGCGTGAAATACTTTTTTTATATAAAAAAACATATAAAATTTTTATAACTTCTCAAATATTAAAAAAAAAAAAACTAGAATTCGAGTTTATTAATTTGATATATCATATCTAGATTTAATGTTTGTTTGTTTTATCTTTAAACAAATAAATTTTTTTAGGTTAAATACTCTTTTTGTTCTTTACATTTATTTCGGAGTTTATTTTAATCCCTTAAATTTAAAAAGTTTCAAATTGTTTTCTTAATTATTCAAAAAGGTCCACATTTATCCTTTTCGTTCGTCCCGCTAGTCAAAATCAATGGATTTGTATAGGTGGCAGACACGAGTTTTGTTTTTTTGCCACCTAGAATATAATATTTGAAGCCTAAAAAAATAAAAGGGAATGGAAAGAGAAATTCAGAATTCATCTTTGTTTTTTCAAGCAAACTTTAGCGAAGCCATTGTCGCATCTCCAAGGCGAACTTGCTGCGAGCGAAGCGAAAGCATAATCGTATCATGAAGGTGAAAACAAAGACAACACTGCTTAGTAGAGGTAAGTTTGATCTCTACGTATCAGGTAATTTTTTATTTCTGTAGTTAGGATTTATTGAAATCCATTTTTTTTAAATCCATCTTTATTATTTGCTTCTATTTAGGGCATAGTCTGAAATGGATGAATTTTTGCACCTTAAAATCTACCATAATGGTGAATTTGCTGATGAGGATTTTAGTGTGTACGAAGGGGGTGAGGTTGCCGATTTGAAAGTAGATGTTGATAAGTGGGGATATTTTGAGTTGTTAGGTTATTTTAAGGAATTAGGTTATGACTCCATAGAGAAGATATATTATAGGGATCCTACTGTTGGGATGAATGTGTTGGTTGATGTTAGGTGCCTTAGAGATTACTGATCTCTATAGGGTTCATCTTAGTGTTGGCATCTTTATTCAACACACATTATCGCATGCTGATTATTTTAAAGGTCCAATTAATGATATACCCCTTTATGAGATACCCCTTAATGAGATAGTAGATGAGACTGAAGATGTGCTTGCTGTAATGAATGAAGAAACAGTTAATGATGGGTTGAAAGAAAATGAGTTGAAGGATAGTGAGCCAAGTAGGAAAAGAGTGCAAGGAATACTGATATTAATGGACATGGGGAAAATGATGTTAGGATGAGTGATGTACATGGGGGTTGTAACACCCCCAAAATAATTAGATTATTTTTTTAATTATTTAATTGATTTATAAGAAGTATTTGTGATGTATTTTTGAGTATACGTGATGTTTTGATGTATATGATGTGATGTTATGTGTAGTACAGTAGAAATTACGAGATATTGAGTGTTTTAGTAATTTTAGATAATTAGTTTTGATTATTTAGAATTATTATTAATTAAATAAATAAAATAATAAGAGGTAGAGACTATGAGGATAAGTTAGTAATATTATGAAGTAAGTGGGAGTAAGATGGGAAGACCGTAGAAAGGGTCCAAGGGTTAAACTAGGAAAAAGAGTGGTAGTGTCTATCATTTTGTACAATCGCTTTAGGAAAAGCATAATAGAGTTAGGGCATTGGGGAACTCAACAGGTTTCTGTAGAACGCGAAGAGGAATAGATTACTGCTAGGAATCTAAGGTAAATGGAGTTATCATTGTTATTATGATTGATATATGGCTTAGATAATTGTAGGTTCGTGTGGGGTTTTGATTGATGATGTTAATATGATAATTTGATGATGGTTGATGAAATTGTGTTATTGTTTTGCAATGAGTTGATGTAGATGATGTATAAGAGAATGTGTTGTTATTGTATGATGATACTCTCTGAAGTTGTGATGAATTAAGACCTGTACTGTGTTTGAATCGCAAGAATTTGGGACTGGTATGGTGCAGAAAACACACAGGAGAATTCATGTTCGCGTTGCCTCATCAGGAGAGTAGTATGCTTCAACGAGCGAAGGTGCTTCACCCAAGCCGCGTTAGGCGACCAAGAAGACGAATGGAATGGGGAGAAAATAGAGCCCCTGAAAAAAATGTATGGTAGAAGTGGACTCTCTCTAGCTTCGCCGGGCGAAGCATAGGCGAGAGGAGTCTCGCCGGGCGAATGAGATGCTCTGACGGGAGAAGGAAGCAGAGAAAAAAATGCTCCTGTAATTTATATGGGGGAAGGTCTTTCGCCCCGTCCTCTCAGGGCGAGTAACCGTCTTCGTCAGACGAGCCTCAGGCGAGGGACACCAAGGATAATTTTAAAAGTATCGTAACTTGAGTTTCAGGACTCCGTTTGACGCGTTTTTCAAAGCATTGGGTAGCTTACGTAAAGAACTATAATTAGGTGTAATAAAATAAGTAAAAGGATTTAGAATTATAGTACCTATTCTATGATAAAATTAGACTTCTATGTGATGGATTACAGTGACATTTATTGTTCGATGGGTTGTTGATACTATGATGATACTATGTTGTTACTATGATGGTTTGATGATATTATGGTGATGCCATGAATATATATGATGTATGTGATGACCTTATTTTTATTACATAAATGAATGATGAATTTTGACTAGCCGTGGTCATGTTTTATTATGTTGTTGCACATCATGCATTCATGGCATATGTTAGGACTTCAGTCCAGTGATGTTGTTAGGACGATTGGTCCAATGATGATGATATGATGTTAGTCCATTGATGGCTTCAATATCATAGTGTGGATTGAGTGTAATATCATGATGTGCTCTGGTTCCAAGTGGAAATCGATCCTATTGATGGGGATCTTTGGAGAAATGATGGTTGAGTCATCAGTGAAGTTTTGGTACCACATGCATGATTCAAATGAAATTGCATTACATTCTTTGTGGCATTGCATAATATTTGATTGTGTGATGCTTTGTGAATGTGTGAATTAATGATGTTATAGCGATGATTGTTGACTGATGATATGATGATGTTATAAATGAATAATGAAGTGAAGGTGTGAGTATAACATGAAGTTCTTATGATGTCTTGTTTCTGGATAATGTGTTATAACTACTATATTTATTCCTCATATATTTTAAAATGATTATGATTACTCACCCTTTCTGCTTGGAAATGTTTCCTCTATATATGGGTAACTTGCAGGTGGCCAAGAGTAGTTCGTTAAAGCTTAGACGATAGCTTCAGAGTGCGTCATTTATTTATGTTGAATAAGAGGGTCTTGCTTTGATATGTAACATCGGGGTTGAGAATGTTTGTTTTGAAACTATTATACATTTTGTTTATTTTGAGATGGTGAATTATCTTTCTTGGTATTTAAGTTGTTCTTGGATTATAAACCTTGAACGTCCAAGTATGATAGAGCTAAAGACATGGTTGATGGGTCTTTCCTAGGGAATTATACAAGGATTTATGACTATTGCCATGAGTTATTAAGATCAAACCCCGAGTCAACTGTAAAACTGAATGTTCAATGTAACACCCCATTTCTACCCAACGAGTTAAATGAAATCAGAATTATAAAAATTTCCAACGAACAAATGGAATGCTACACTTTCAACTTGAAAGTATGACATTTAATCATCTAGTTCAGATACATAACACATGAGCTTCGAATGAACCGATAACAATCAGCTTAGTCTTTAAAAATAAAACAACTTTTATTACTATGTAACGGATTCACAAAATTCAACTGAACATACCATATCATCTTATCCAACTCAAAACAACTTTAAGACAACAAGTCTCTAACGAAAAAAACTTAAAAATTCAGCAACATAATGAAAATCAACAATTAAATATCAAGCATTCATCCCCCCGAGTGCTACGTATTAGAGCGACGACACCGACTCGAACTAACGAGGTAATAACTATCCTTCTTGAATACCTGCACGTTACCAACAGAGGGAAACATTCAAACAGAAGGGGTGAGATATCAAACTATATAACAGGATATATGATAAATAATATATCAGAATCAAATCATATAAAATCACCACTTTACAACTTTCAAACATCTTTAATCTCAATAAGACATCAACACGACATAACAACTAATTCACAATCTTTAGATGATATCTGTCACAACAAGTCAACAACATAAAGAAACAACAAATCTATCTTCACCACAACTCAATATGCAACATCAAATGCGACTCAATTACAATGAAAATGCATGTGGTACCATTGGAGCAGAACTCCCATCTCAAAAATTTGCCAATTCATAGAGGCATCAACAATGCATAGCCTTCATCTCAAAATTCGCCAATACAGGCCATCTTAACGAGCATAAGCTCCATCTCAACAATGCAATGTATGCGACACAACCATGAATGTAATAACAACACCTAAGATAACAACATCTCAAATCATCTCAAAAACATCTCAATTAACATCTCAAAAGCATCTCAAAATAACAACATCTCAAATGCATCTCAACGTCTCGTCATCAACATCGCATATCATCAAAATAATTTATTAAACATCATTTATTTATTATAAATCATCAAACATCATTTATTTATTATAAATCATCAACAGAACATCGTGAATAACTTCTCACTAACAACTCAGTTGTACATTAATTCCACAATAAGTCAACACTGGCCATAGGCCTACAACTTAATCAACTTTTCAATCACAACATATAAACAACAACATATTCAACAACAGCAATGTATTCGACAACGACTTATTCACAGCAATAACCAACAACACAATTCCATAAACCGGAAGCATTCAACTTAATTCGACTTCACCTG